TGAAAAAATAGTTTCTAAGTATAATAATATATTTTTATAATAAATGTTTCATTTTCATTGTAAACATATCTGTATTTAAAAAACTTATAATCAACGAGAATTACAGATTTATTATCTCTATTTTTTATTATTCTATTTTGTTTTTTCCATAAACATTATCACCATATTGCTCGGCTAAGAGAATTCCACAGAAAAGTAAAGATAGGGTGTTTACGATATTGCTATCGATTTGAGATAGGTTTTTATGTTAAACTTTCAATTGATGGTTCATTACTAGTTACTTAATATAATGAAATTGTTTAGTGATAATCTTAGAACGTAACCATACTAAACAGCAATCGATTATTTTTCTCGCAACATTTCTGTTAGTTTACTATCGACTTTCTTTTTGCTAATTCATTTATTATTACATATATGTTAAACCTTTGAATAATATGTTGTTAGTAACATAATATGTAATGTCCAAAAGGCCTTTAGCTTAGCGGTATGAGAGTCTTTGGTCTCCTAGGAAGTCAGGGGTTCAAACCTCACCAAAGATGAGGAGGGTGTGTGAGTTTATTTGTTTTATTTGTCGTATATAAATATTATATACTTAAAAAAAACATAATATGTAATGGATATTAATATATACGTCATTGTGCATATTTATGCCTTATGTCATCGTGATTAGGGGTGTTCAAAATACGGACCAACCCTACCTACCCAATTAGAAAAAAACTCGAAAAAAAAATTAGCCTGAGGTAACCCGACACAATATTGTTACAAAATTAGGACAAACTGCATCTCCTGAATTGGAATTGGGTTAGAATCATATGCGGAAATTCTTCTCTATTTTCTGCTTCATCTGGTAATTTTGTTTTAGAGACATTTATTCGACTCCTTTGTCACTGCATCGCTTGTTGAATTCTTTACAAGTATCCTACATATGAAGTCCCGGAGTTTATTTCAAGTATCACAAGTGTTTTTCATCAACAATGAGAACACAAAATTTGAAGTTTTTTGTGTTCTGCCAATTGTTTTGGTTCGACAGACGGAAGATAAAACAAAAACTTTTATGACTTCTCATTCATTTATCTTGATTTGTGCTTTATGAAGCATTGGACCTGATTTCAAATTTGTGATCTACATCACATTATTATTGGAGTTCATATATACAAGGTGTGTTTGATGTCCAGACGGTATAGGATACGATAGAGTAGAACAACTGTTCAGCGTTTGGTAAAAATAAAACAAGTAAAATGATCAATTTACCCATGATGAGTTGTTTATATATTTTGATCAATTTATATAAATTATTAAATTATAATAAAATATTTACTTTTTATAACAAAATATATCATTAAAATGTTTTCGTGAAAACAATTAAAATAATACCAAAATAAAAGTTTATGTAGTTTCCTTTTTATATTATCACCTTTTTACATTTTTTTTATTATTATTAATGTATAATAAATTAATAAACATATAGAAACCCTATAAAAATAATATTTTGAGAACAATAAAATGATGTTTAAAAAACATAAAATACAATAAATAAAATTTAAAAAATGTATAAAATGTAAAAAAGATACATATTTGATATTTTGGAAGAAAATTAAGTTTTATTTTGACATTATATTGATAAAATATAAGTCTGTTATAGCTTGTTCCACCTTGTTAAATGAGAGAGAATGGAACATGTCTGTTCTACTTTGTTTCACTTTATTCTACTCTGTTCATATCTGTTCCACATAAAAGTCTTGCGAAACATGGAACAAGGGTCACTGTTCTTTTATGTTATGTCATGTCCAGTGTACCAAACGCAACCATATGAATCACGGTGTGAAGTGCATGATGTTTATCAATATGGTATGCTAATTGTTTGATGTAATGTCTGAGAGAAGTTCTTCACTGATCGTGTCTATTTTGAAGCAGTTACAAGTTCTAATGTTGGTACTAGTTGTTGTATAACAACAAAGATGGTGTATGAAGAAGACAAAGCATTGAGGTTATTTTATGTTTCCGTTTTATGTTTCTATTTCGGTTTTTATGTTAGACTTTTTTGGTTCCCGTTGGTATATAAGTTACTAGAAGGGTACTTGTGCAATGCAACGAAATACATCTTGATTTTAATATTTTATTTTATTCTTTATCTCAGTCGATGTTATAGTATGGTCTTATGTGATTTTGAAAAAACGATTATGTTTTTATTTTTGAATAAAATATAAATTTGAAGATATCATAAAATTTTGACAAAAAATATATCGACATTAGTATCAAATTAACTATTTAAAATTCATATTTTTCGTGTAATTTTTTAATTCAATTTTTTTATTATAATTTAGTTTAGGTTCAACAACGAAATAATTTATATTAGGTTTAAAAATATTTTTTTTTCTAAAGATAATAATTAATTATTTTGTTAGAACTCGATAAATTATCCTAATTAGTTTTTAGATTTTTTATATTTTAAAATGAGATGTTTATCATCTATTTGATTATGTTTATTCGCAGTTAGTTACACAAATATTCAAATATTGAGCTTTAATAAGTTGTACTTATGCATAATTTACTTGTAATCTTGAATTTTAAGTAATATGCATTAATATACAGTACTTCATGCATAAAAAATCGTTTTTAAGAGTTTTTGTCAAATATTTTATAATGTAATATAAATTGTTATAATCAAATTATGAATGCCGATCTCGGCCATGTATTTGTCACCATCAATGTCGCTCTGATTTTTACTATTTGTGGATTCCAAGCACCATAGAGATGATATTGCTATCATTTCTACTCAAAATATTCATGTCCCATTGATGAAATTAATTCATTTATTTTAAATTTATTTAATTCATATTCACTTTCTATCGTATTTATATAATTGATCGACATAAATTGATGTGATTTTTGGACGTGACGTTCCACTCACCAACAATAGACAAAGTATGAGGTTCTAAAACCTGCATGAGCGCTTCGAAACACAAACACCCCCTTGCTCAAAGCTTAAACAACATTGGATCTATACTTTGTGATCTCGATCATGAATCCAAATTTTCCTCATCTAATCCTTCTATGATTACAATTTCATTTGCTGAGCATGCAAATCGAAAACTTTCAGTTACATCTGGGCGATAACATCAAATACAAAAACTCTATAAAACATCAAAACTTTGGGATCCAATATTGAATGAATACATGACGAACTTGAAAAATCAAAACTACAGAACAGAAACAAAAATCACCATCAAGTAAGCAAAAAGTAAATTCGAATATGCATGATCGAAATGATAAAACATTCAAATTCAAAATTCAAGTTCGACAATCGGACTACATCAGAATCTTAGAACTGTAATGATCATAAACAGGAACGGGAAATTAAAAAAAAAACCACGAGAAAAATACCGATTATTAACATGAAAGCTAGAAATCACAAACTATAACATCGAAAATCAGAACATAAATTCCACAATTTGGATACGTGAATCAAATTATAAACAGAGAAATGAAAAGAGAAGAAGGTAGAAATCATTTGCGAATGTGCTTGACGTTGAACCAACCTTTTTTGCAGGCTATAACGATCTTTCTTGTTGCAGTCTTAGTGAAGAACCTCTTAAGATTCCTAGCTCCATTTCTGACCTGATTATCAAAACTAGCCATTGCACAAGAATTTGGAGAGAAGAAGATCTAGCCTCTGTGTGTGTCTGGTTATGGTTAGGGTTTGGTTTGGTTTAAATAGAGGAGACGAAAAGGGGATATTTTGATTCACAACCAAAAACTTGTAATAATATCTTTTAGTATTTGGTTACTTTTTCATTTATTATTTTTATGTTTAATTTCAACCATTCAATAAAAGCTTGTGTGCAAGTTATTCCACACGATTAATTTCGTGGCTTGGTCGACTCAATGGCATGGGTGGCCCACAAATTGGTTTTTGATTGAAGAAACCGAAACATATAACCGACTTAAAATAGATGAGTTTAAAAATCATAATATTGTGATAAATCATGTGTTATTTGATATTGTAATATTATATTTGTGTGAGTAATCCACCAATGTATCAATCTTGGGATTAATGAGCCTTATCAAATACTTACCGAGTAAGTGTTTACCAGCAAAAGTCACTACTTTTTTACCTTATCGGAGAAATTTTTGGCCATAAAAATGGATTGTTGATAGATATTTTTTATTCAATTAGAAGAATACCCGCGTAATGCAGCGAGATACATCTTGATTTTAATGTTTTGTTTTATATTTTGAGTCCATCAATGTTATAATGCGATTTGATGTGGTTTTGAGAAAAATAAAATATTTTTTATTTTTGAATGAAATATAAATTTGAAGATATCATAAAATTTTGATGAAAATAACGATATTAGTATCAAATTAATTATTTAAAAGTTTTTTTTTTGTGTAATTTTTTAATTCAAAATTTTATTATAATTTAATTGAATTTAAAAAACAAACTAATTTATTTTTGGTTTAATAAAATAATTTTCTAAGATAATAATTAAGTATTATGTTAGAACTCAATGATTATCTTAAATTATATTTTAGATTTTTTATATTTTAAATAATGTTTATCATGTATTTGATTATGTTTATCTGCAGTTAGTTATACGAATTCAAACATGAAGCTTTAATAAGTTGTACTTACATACAATTAACTTGTAATCTTGAATTTTAAGTAATATGAATCAATAAACAATACTTTATACATAAAAAATTATTTTTAAGAGTTTTTATCAAATAATTTATAATATAATATAAATAAACACTTACCAAATAAGAATATTTCCCCTCATTTACAACGTGAGCTTTTTGGTTCTTGTTGTCCCTTAGGTTTTCTGTAAGTATTTAGTATATGGTCCATATCCATAATACTTGTTTGGACGATTAAGGTTACAACAGCTTAAAAAATGAAATAATTGTGGTCGCTTTGCAAAACAAAGAAACTTTAGAGGCCGAAATGTGAGATTTTTCCAAGAAATAGATTAGCCGGTTCCGGTAATGGAACCCTAAATCCCCAAATCCACAGACCCTTCTGTAGCACAGCTTTCACATATTCATAATCTGCTGACAATGGTAGTTCTTCGATCCTGTAAGTTTGCTGGTCGTTCTTTATCATCAAATTTTAGTTCCATTTCCAGGGTTTTATTCAATGCCTCATTTTCTGCAACAATCGCACAAACCCCTTCGATTCAGCATCATGATGTACTACTGTATAAGCGAATTTCACCGGCGGCAATAACGCCTAGGAATTCAATTGTTCCGATTCTTGATCAATGGTTACAAGAAGGTAATGAAATCATAGTTGATAAGCTCAAAGACATGATCAAAATTCTCAGGAATCACAATCGATATACGCATGCTCTCCAGGTTAGTATTTGATTTCATCTTAGCTTGTATTTAATCCTATTACATTACTTGTGTACGAAAGTTAGCCTACATTTCTTTTTGTGGATGTGTTCTAGTCGTGGTTTTAAATTTTGTTCAGCATAATTTGATAACATTGAACATTACTACCAAAGTTTTGAGCTTGGCTCCAAAGGTTAAAAGTACCATGAGGTCTCTCAGGTTCTAATCTAAAGAGGAATAAAAATCCCCTTGTGGCCATGGAGGTTCAAATACGGTAACTCCAGGCTATCTGCAAAACAGGTAGTAGCCCTGGAATTAGTCGGCTCGTATAGCGGGTTGGATGTTCAGGTTAATTAAAAAAAAAGTTTTGTGTATTTGTAACTAGAGAGAGAAAGTTATGTAGAGAGAGAAAAAAGATAGATGATCAGAAACTCAATATGGTGTATTTCTTTGTTACTTTACATTGAAGTACTAGAAACTTATTTATAGTACAAGAATTAAGTCTTTCTACCACCTAACAGCCCCTTTGACTTTTCTAACCAACTCTAACCGTCAAGAGACACTTCTAGAACCATCACGATACTTCTTGCGTAGTTGTATTGTACAACTCTAATATCCCCCTGCGAGTTGAACGTTGGGAACAATGTGAAGCTTGGCACACAACTGAGAAATACGGGCAGAAGTACAACCTTTGGTTAAAATGTCGGCTAGCTGAACAATGGTTGGCACGTATTGAACACAAAGAATCTGAGATAAACCATGCCCAGTATAGAGTGTAGATCAATTTCGATATGTTTTATACGTTGATGGAAAACCGAATTAGCTGCAATATAGGTAGCTCTAATATTGTCACACCATAAGGTTGGAGCACAAGAAAGGTTGATGTGAAGCTCACGTATAAGAAAACCAACCCATCTTAGTTTGGCCGCAACATGAACAAGTGCTTGATACTCCACCTCTGTACTCAATCTAGCAATGATACTCCTGTTTCTTGGAACTCTAACTAATGAGATTGGGTCCAAGAAAAATGCAATATCCAGTAGTAGAGTGACGGTCATCGGGACAACCTACCTAACCCACATCAGCATAGGCATGAATTGAGGTCGTGGATGATCGCTGAAAAAACTAAGCCATGAGTACTCGTATCGTACCACCCAAATATCGTAAAATGCATTTGACCGCTATCCAATGTCTATTTATGGGAAACTGAGAAACATTACTAACAGCATATGCTATCTAGGTCGAGTGAGAAGCAAATGCTGCAAGGCACCAACTTTACTTCGATATAACGACGAATCATCTAACGGAATACCGGAATGTCGAGATTACTGATGGCCAGGAGAAACCGGAGAAGGTAATGGCTTACACTGCCAGTGCGCTGATCCTTCACAAGAAGTCTTGACCTTATTTAAGCAAAACTTGGAATGCTTTCTGAGTTCTCTACATTGAGAACAAAAATGTTGAATATAAAGTTCAGGCCTTGCAAGGTTTGTAAAACTAAATCAGAATCAGATACTTTCTCCCCAATTGATCTTAGAGAGTCTGCAATTTTTTTAACAGAATCACCTATGCTATTAAAATCGCGATATATCTGCGATATATCGGATATCGGACTCTGGGAAATATCGGTGGTGAAATATCGGTTCCGATAATATCGCCGATATTTCACCCATATTTTGATGGAAAAATCAGTGACAAATGTTTAGGCTTTTTTTATTAGATGTCGGGCTTAGTTTTTTGGGCCTCTTTATTTGGTCAGTCAGTCAACACATATATTAAGTCTCACGCTTCTTCTCTTGTCGGTTCTTCACAGTTCTTGCTTCTTCTCTTCTCGGTTCTTTCACAGTTCATGCTTATTGTTTGCGATTAGCTCGTTTATGGACACTTTTCCTATTTTGTTTTGTGAGACTTATTTATGTAATGTTTTACTTTTGGAACTATATTTCTAAACTCTAATTAATGTATATGATATGTTTATGGATGCATACATATATAATATATATACATATAATATATATATATATATATATATATATAATTCTAAGAAATATTATATTAACCGCTATTTTGGACTGATATATCTCCGATATATCATCGATATAACCGAAATATTGAATATCGGTCCCGACCGATATTTTGTATTTTGACCGCAGTAACAGCATAGAGAATCACAATAGGCTGTAACATTTAAGGTGCCTTGTTTTAAAGTCTGAAACTGAGTCCATAACTGAAATTTCTTTGCAAAAGCCTGCTGTAAATACACATCTCCAAGAGTTTTCCACAATTCAAGAGTTGTGGTTGTATCAATTGCTAAATAAGCAATGGAGGAATTAAGAGTTGTGTTTATACAAACAGAAATATATGGATCAGCCTTGCACCAATTCTCATATTCATCATTGGTTTCTAATGGAGAAGATGAATTTACATGTTCTGAAAGTCCCATGGTTTTGAGGATTGTTGAAATCTGATGCTTCCAACTCAAATAGTTTTCACCATTGAGTTTGAATGAGACGAAAAATTACAACTACAAAGTTTCATATTGTGAACCGAATACATATGAACCGAATACATTGTGAAACAAACACATAGTGAAACAAATATAGGTTAGTCAATACATTAAATTCTAGCCGTAGATGGAAAAATATCATGTGAAATAGCCAGCACAGCAGTTCTCAAGGTTATCACAATTTTATGGGTTCTCAAATGAAAGCCCCCACGGCAACTAATTAAAGCACGTGTGATATTTGCGATGGTGAAATGTTGATTCTGCTCTGGATTTTTTGCATCTCCTGTTGTTGTATTCTCTACCATATCTGTGCTGCTGTTTTCAAAGACAAGCTACTGTAGGTGCTGTGATACCATAAAGTTCTGTATATTTGCAACTAAAGATACAAAGTTACGGTGAGAGAAAGAAAGATAGATGAACAGAAACTCAATTCTGTTGTATTGCTTTGTTACTTCACATTTAAGTACAACTGTTTATAGTACAAGAGTCGAGTCTTTCAACCACTTAACAGCTCCTTTCACTTTTCTAACCAACTCTAACTTGCAAGAAGTATCATGATGGTTCTAGAAGTGTCTCTTGAAAGTTAGAGTTGGTTAGAAAAGTGAAAGGAGCTGTTAAGTGGTTGAAAGACCTAACTCTTGTACTAATAAATAAGTATGTTGTACTTCGACGTAAAGTAACAAAGTAATACAACATATTGAGTTTCTGTTCATCTATCTTTTCTCTCTCTACATGACTTTCTCTCTCTAGTTACAAAAACTTCGATTGCATGCATAAGAAGTTGAAATTTTGCTGGCTTACTAGCTTTGAGCATGAAAGCTCTTGATTTGTTTTGAAGATGTGAAATAATGAGAAAAATTGAATAATAATATTTTGGTAACATTTCATTTTTGTGAACTAAGAAATGCTTAACAGCTTTTGCTTATGGTGAGGCGATGATGGGAGAAGTACAACAAATGTGGATTGTGGTGTCATCTTATATCAAACTTAAAGGATTTCATCTTGGTAGCAATAAACTAAAGCAAAAGATGTAGCTCTTTTTGTTACAGGGTGGATCTAGTATGAATTGTTATATAGGCAACCCAAAATCATATAAAAAGAAATTTATTGCAAAATTACCCAAAGAAATACCTTTCCACCATATTTTGTTTGATATCATCTTGATTTTTGTCCTGATTATCGCACTACGAATTCTGATTTCAGCTGTCTGAATGGATGACTAACAGAAGTTACCTCGACCAATCATCAGGGAACATTGCAGTTCATTTGGATTTGGTTTCAAGAGTTCATGGTCTGGAACAGGCTGAGAAGTTCTTCGATACCATCCCAGACTCCTTGAAGAATTTTAAGGTCTATGGAACTCTCTTAAACTGTTACGCTTTCAAGAAATCATTGGAGAAAGCTGAGGCCACCATGGAGAAGATGAAACAGTTGGGGTATATGACTTCACATTCGTACCACAGTATGCTCAGTCTATATAACAAGACCAGAAATCATGAAAAGTTAGTCGCACTCATTCACGAAATGGAAAAAACAGGCGTTCGCTATCACAGAACAACATATTACCTTCAGTTAACTGCATATGCTTCTTTCGACATTAAGGCAATGGAGAAGCTTCTTGGTTACATGGAAGCCAATCCTAATCTCTCCCTCGACTGGCATGTTTACATCATTGCTGCCAAGGGATACCTAAACTTTCATCAACATAAAAAGTCCCAAGAAATGCTAAAGAAATCAGAAGGATATGTCCATGAGAATACAAATGGGGTTGCTTATGAAATCCTGGTCACCATGTATGCTAATCTGGCTGAAAAAGACGATGTTTATCGTATATGGGATTTATACAAGAAAAGATGGAGAAAAATAAACGATAAAAGGTATCACCATATGATAAGCTCGTTAGTGAAGTTGGACGACATTGATGGAGCAGAGAAGATTGTGGCTGAATGGGAATCTGTAACAAGGTCGTTTTGCTTCTGGGTACCTAACGTTTTGGTCAATGCGTATAGCACGAAGGGCGATTGGAAGAAGGCTGAAACTTATGTAGAGAGATTAGCTGGTATGGGGAAGCAACCGAGTACAAGCACGTGGGATATTTTGGCTACTACGTTCTGTAAACATGGGCAGATGGAGAAGGGCGTAGATGCAATGAGGAAAGCGATTTTGAGTCATCACCATGATCATTCGAAACTAAATCAAGTCACTTTGACAGCATGTTTGAAGTATTTGGAAGAGAAGGGCGATATGGAAGAAGCAAAGGATTTTGTACAAGTAATGGATGGGCGCGTATTGATATAGAAACCAAACCAAACGAAACCAGTATATCCTACATAGAGGTAGGGTCTGTTGGGTGGGGGTAATGATATGGAATCTGTAGCATGAAAAGCTGTCAGGAACCTGTGTCTGAATCGAGTGTCGAATAAGGTGGTTATGGAACTCTCCCTCAAAAAGCATGGTTAGAGATCATTTACACCCTCAGATCGGTTCGTAATGCTTGGAACCAAGATGTTACAGGTCTCACATTTGAATTTCAGATATGCTATCAACTCATATATTGAATGGTTCACATATGAACTAATTAAGGGGTTCACATACGGACATATAATTCATATGTGTATCACATGGGTTCACATATGAACCTGTTTGCTGCTTATTTGTAAAAGTTACGAAACTACCTCTCAATTTTTCGCATATCCATGTGAAGAATTATCCGGTGCTTTATGGTCAAAGCCGCAACTGTTGATTAAATGAAGGGTTAGGATCACTGCTTTTACTTCTCAAATATTTACCACTTCTCAAATGAACCTTTATATATATATATATATATATATATATATATATATATATACATACATACTAGGTTTGATCCCGTGTATTACACGAGGTAATTTAAAAAATTAAATCATGTCAGGAAACTTATTTTATAGATATGAATGATCATCAAAAGTCTGATGCTACTTCAGATTTGTATTCTTGAAATAACTTGGAAGTATAATTCTAAAAAATAACTCTGAAGAATGATTCTTCAGACTTGAATTTAAAAATGAAACTATATCAGTAGTTCGTTTAATCATGGAATAAAAATTGAATTTAGAAATGAAATTATATCAGTAAATTGAATTTAAACTTAGAAGTAAATTTAGAATGACTCTTTAGACTTGTACTCTTGAAATAACTCTGAAGTATAATTCTTCATACTTGAATTTAGGAATTAAACTATATAAATAAATTGAAATAAACTTAGAAGAGCGCATTTGTCAAATCTAAAGACATTGAGTTCAGAGTTATTCAAATACCCAATATCTTTGAAAAAGACCCCATGGTAAAACTTGCATCATATAAAGCAAGACCAAACAGAGCTCCTTTGGTCCTTTGGACTCACAACCAAGAGCAAGGCCAATCAAAGGCCCTCTTGTCAACTAGAGCCTCTGGTTCATCTACTCAGACCCTCTGGGTCAAGAAAACGTTAAATACTTAAAGAATTTGAGTTCCAATTACAATCAGAGACCCTCTGGTTAAAGATGAAGATCAACCAGAGCCCCTTTGGTTCCTTTATGATGGATTGAAATATTTTTCCATTGTTCAAATAAGCATCCAAAAGCAAAGTCATCCAGAAACCAGACCAACCAGAGGGGATCTAGCTTACAAGACTAAAAGTCTAAGTCTTAAAGACTTATTTTCAAAGTCTAGATAAGTTTATTATAAGACTTGTACTCTTGAAATAACTCTGAGGTAAAACTCTTTAGACTTCAGAGTATGTATAGGCAAGCCAGAAGCTCTGCATAGTGCTCCGTCTAGAAAAGAAAATTTTAGAGTACGGGTGAGCTAACTCTGAAGAATCACTCTTCAGACATGTACTCTAGAAATAACTTTGAAGTAAAACTCTGAAGAATGACTCTGGAGACTTGTACTATTGAAATAACAATGAAGTATAAAATCAATCCTACTAAATCAGAGTTCAGACTACTAAGTCTGAAAAAAAAGACTTCAGAGGTCAGACTTCTAAGTCTAAAAAAAAAGACTTCAGAATTCGGATGAGCTAACTCCGAATAATGACTCTTCTGACTTGTACTCTTCAAATAATTTTGAAGTAAAAATCTGAATAATGACTTCAGACTTGTAGAAGACTTCAGAGTTCAGACTTTTAAGTCTGAAAAAGAAGACTTCAGATTTCAGACTCTGAGTTCGGGTGAGCTAAATCTGAAAAAGCAGACTTCAGAGTTCGGGTGAGCTAAGTCTGAAAAAGCAGACTTCAGAGTTCGGGTGAGCTAACTCTGAAAAATCACTTTACACTTGTTCTCTTGAAATAACTTTGAAGTAAAACTCTTTAGACTTCAGAGCTCTGTATATAGGTAAGCCAGAAATTCTACACGTACTATGCAGAGGCTTTATATGGTGCTTTGCATGGTGCTCCGTCTGGAAAAGAAGACTTCCCAAATGTACTCAAAGTAAAAGATCAAATAAGGTAATAAAATCAATTACAACATGATCAACCAAAGAAGACTTAATAGTTCGGGTGAGCTAAGTCTGAAATCAGAAGACTTCAGAGTTCAGACTTCTAAATCTGAAAAAGAAGACTTCAGAGTTTAGACTTCTAAGTCTAAAAAAGAAGACTTCAGAGTTCGGGTGGGCTATTTGAATCATGACGATCCTAAGCCAATGCCCTACAATTTATATGCCAAGAGTTTTGGCTTATTAGTTGAAGAAATCGGTGCTCTGAGGTCGTTTTCTACAAACAAACATGTACTTTTGCCAAAACAGGCCCCTAATCTTTGAAAAAATGATGTTTGCGCCCCTAAACTTTCTGACATTTACAACTAGACCCCTCATGACGTGATATATTATATTTTTGATCCAATAAAAAAAAAACAAATTTTATTTTATTTTCCCTTTTGCCTCTCTTTTCATTATTTATTTATTTAAGATTTCTACAATTATTTCTTTTAATTAATTACGTAAATATTTTAACACTTCAAATGAATTTAATAAAAAAATTATTTAAAAGCTCATATAATATTATTTATATAATTAAAAATTTGGGTTCACAACTGCTGTTAGACACCTTTGAAAAAACCTTCTATAAGATGGACCGTCTCTTGTTACCATTTAACTCTTGTTACCATTTAATTTCTTTTTTGACTATATGGGATATATGGCCAACAATCTTGAAGAGCTTGTAAGAGTTGGGATATTAACTTCATTTCTTTTGAGAAAAGATAAATATAGTGATCATACATGAAATTATATGATGTCAATGATTGATATGCACTTTAGTTATGATTCTCTCTTGCATAAATGCTCATAAAAGTTGGAACCACAAATGTTCTGAAGTTGCTTTCTTTCTTCATATAAATTTCTGTTTTCACTGCATTGATGAACATATGAAGTATGTGGATTACTAACCCGCCCAACCCAACCCAACCCAACCCGTCTAACGCATAAGGGTTGGGTTAAGTTATACTTTTGAATGGGTTGAGATTTTTCAGACCGTCATAATTTAGTTGGATTGTAAAAACGTCCAAAAAAAACCCAACCCACTCTACTACTCTTGGTCATTTATGTACAGTTTTGTAGTTTTAATCTCTAGTCGTTGTCGTATTCTCTGACTAGATTCACATCACCTAGATTAAAACCTTTATCCTCGATACATGTTGAAGGTAGTAAAATACGAAGCGTAGGATTGCACGTATTTGGTTCCATGACATGGAAACAAAACACAAGAGAAATATGTGCACATTTTTAATTGGGTTCTTAAAAAATTGCAGATTGTCAAAATGCGGCATTGTGTTGTAGGTAGTAAAGCACAAAGCGTAAAATATCTCCCCATGATCAGTTCCTCGTATCAACAGGTCATGACAACCATATCAAGTTATGGAGATGATATTACCCCCCCCCCCCCCCCCCCCCCCCGCTTGAAAAACCGACATGAAAATTAAACATAGTTGTCTTATACACTAAAGGATACCTATAGATACACGGAAGGAAAACAAATGTAGAACATCGTTGTGCATATACCTTGACGGATCCCATTTACAAATACGATTACATCATTTTAATTATCATCAATATTGATCTATGGCATAACCTTTGTAGCTTCAAAAACTTAGATGTATGGTAAAGCAATGTTGGCTAGTTGATGGGTTTTCGAACTTTTGGTTTATGGTTTTGTGAAACTTTGTGAAACAAGTACATATTGTGAAACAAATATATGTTAATTGATACCTTAAATTGTAGCATTTGACGAAAACAAACATGTTAAACAATACCTTAAAGTACAAGTTCTGATGGTTCTCACAATTTTTGAAGTTTTCATTTTATTATGCCCCTATATGTAAAATGAGGATCAACAAGAAATCAATCAACTTATAATCATTGCCACAAATCATTGCCAACGAAGTTCAGTTTTATTATGAATGTGCCATCGTGCCCATCCAAACTGTTGTATCCAATGCACGATCTCATCCAAGGGTGGTCAAGGGTGTTACGGTTCTTACGAAAAGTTAGTTCTTGTCCAGTCCCGAGTCTATTTATATATATTTTTGCCAAAAATCACAACATGACGACTTAAGACTTTGGGACATTGGAGTACGACTAAAGTTATAATTCAAAAGGAAGACAAATAAGAATAAACTTATTTGGTGACCCAAAAAATCCCAAAGTCTGCAAAGCAGGTGGTCGTCCTGGGATTAGTCGGCTCGCATAGCGGGTTAGATATCCAGGTTAATAAAAAAAAAATCCCAAAAGACAAAAAAAACTATGGATGATCATAAGACACACCATGTGACAAATGACTAAGGACACAAATCATATAGGATAATACCTTCAATGCTCTTCTAAGTGGATCTTTTAAGGGAACAATTACTTGTTTTATCTAGACGAGTCTTTAGTGAACATCTTTCAGTGGTCGTCTCGATCCCTTGATGATTGATCATAAGATCTTCAATCCTCTAGCTAGAGGAATGGATGTAGTTGATACGGGAGCTCCGTTAAGTGTTCCCCAATATATCGCAGGATTCATCATGACAAGAGCTTTTGCTCCATCTTACGACACGAGCTGACAACAACCATGCACCACATGTGTCCATAAGGTCTGAGACGACCCAGAAAGCAATTGATCATATTTCTAGTTGAAATCCATTCCCTCTATTTCCTATATCCCAGAGTTATGATGGAGTCCCTTGACGTTTGGTTTACTTGATCAGAGAATGAATTCAAGTTAATAAAAACTTTGGAATTTGAAACAAATTCTTCAAATACTACTCAAGGGTTGTTTACTAGGCGTTGACCGGTCAGCAATCAGCTTATTTACAAGACTATTGCTCTGATTGAAAATTGATCAAGACACTGATCGAGGACTTACCGAGACAACACAAAAACAATGTTTACCCGGGTCAGATTTCAGTTTTCCATGCATGCCCCTTTTTCACAATTAGGTTTTCATTGCTCGCATCCTCCTCCATGTCGCTCCCGGTCCTCGTCGCTCCCCACCCTCCTCCCTTTTCGCCTCTATCACTTCTCCATCGTCGCTCGGCCTTCCTCCTTTCTCACCGCTCAAACAGGTACCATCGTAACTTCCCTCTATCTTTCCTCCGAGTTATTCTATACTTGAATTAATGTAAATGAGTTTTTAGTTGATCAACTTGGTAATTGATTTGGGAACCTCCCCGGTGCAAATAAAGGTTGTAACACCTTTTTTGGTTATCACGATTCGTGGGTTTTGCCATGCTCTATTTCTTGATTGATTTCCTTCTTGTTGTTTTTCAAAACTAGCTACTGACATTTAGATGTAATAATTTTTTTGGTTATCACGATTTGTAGGTTTTGCTTTTCCAACAAAGACAACAGAAAAATAGTATTACTTTTGGTATTCTTTGATGCAATTTCTTGAATATCCATTGCATAACACAGCCACTATGTGGCTTGTAACTCGTCATATTCACCATTGTCAATGTATCATAACCATTTCCACAAGTGGCATCCACAACTGTTGTTGATTGTTTCATTCAACGGTCCATCTTGGATATACATAACTACTCTTGTTGACATGATGTGGGTACTTCAAAAATTCTAATGATTGGTGAACTATGGCTTGAAATTGAACTAGGGTTTTGCTAGTTTCCGAAAATTGGTTGAGTATTTACATATTTCCCTTAAATACTTGAACCATAACCATAACTTGTTCATTCCACCAGATTTTATTTTTTAATTGCCATCAATCCTGTAGTGGTAGAAGTGGGGATCATGTAGAGGATATTAGAAAAGTGAATTACCTGCGAATGAAAGAAAACATGCTTGATTTGGCTAGACAAATGGATCTGCTATTTGAAAATAGAACCCAATGTCCTTGGTGTTGTCATTGATATTCTAGTTGCAGGAATTTAGATGTTTTATTCGATAGTTTATATATGTGTTTAAGAACTTTTTAGTATATTCTTTTTCTTTTGATTACCTGCTGTCCAGGACCCTTCTCTCAACTTCAATGCTAATTTCGACTCGGATGCAACTCGTATTTCCGAAAAATCAAAACATGAAAGTTGCAAGCCCGTTTGTTGGCTTTCCAAAAAATCTTGAATTGCCTTAAATGAAGCTCAGATGAGTGAGATATGATTGAAACGCCATAGCCTCACAAATCTGTCAAATATCCCTTTTTTGTTCTTTCACTTGTTGTGTACAACGTGTTTTACATAATTGTTATCTCTCACTTGTGTCTACGACTTGTTCTAGAAATGGCAAATCAACCTCATTTTTACCATTATTCTTCTTTACCTTTGGGAGGTCCAATTCCTCATTCCATGTGATAATTTTTTGTTGGATTTTGATTAGCATTTACATTTGATGGAATTCATTTCAATGATGTCAATAGTTTATAGTGTTTCCTGATCATTTCTTGATGTGGATACTTTAGAATTCTAGTTACTATCGTCAATATTTCTTGGTTTTCTGTATGTGTTTTTGTTTTTGTACACTTTGTTTATTGAAACATAATAGATAACAAAGACCTTGAATGTTAACGTCTTTTTGACATGGATATGGAATCGTATGATATATCATCGAAACCCAAAAATATCGAGGGTTAGTTGGAAAAAAATGTGGTAAAACCTTCTTGGAGTGTTGTTTACAAGAGACGTCCATGAATGGAATCCAAGGTGGTAGCCTTAAGATGCACTCATGGAATAATATAGCGGAAACATTAAAAAACACTCACAACTTCATTGTCAATCAAAGACAAACGAAGAATCACTATGATTATTTGAGAGGGAAATACGTTACATGGTCTAGACTAAGGAATAAAAAGGAATGTCTATAACCCAACAAACAACACATTCAATATATCTGAAGAGGAGTGGAAAGCAGAGGCAAAGATCAATTCTTTTTTTAGTTTTCTAATTTAATTTCTTTGAAATTTTCTTTTAGTTATATGTTTTTACTTTTTTTATAAACAGTTGAGTAAATATGCTTACAAGTTGAGGAATGTACCATTACTTTATCCTAATCTTTGTATGCAAATTTTTGATGGAGTGGCTGCCACGGGTAATAGGGACTTTGAGATCTTGGTCCAACTCTTATAACCCTCCGCACTGATGTTTCTAACCCGCATTAGTTGTTGATGACCAAGGCTTGGATACCACACAATCACCTCCTATTTTAGATCAAGCACCTCATATTTCAACTCAAGGACCACCTAATTCAACTCAAGGACCATCTAGCTCGACACAGGAATGCTCCTCTCGTTCTCAAACCATAAAATAGAGTGCTAATTAACATTTGGTAAAAAGTACGACCCAGAAGGAAAAATTTCCTTTGAGCCACCAATCAAGATAACTCGTCCCAAGAAAGTCTAGAATCAGGTTGTAGCTAATCAAGGAGGCACTTTGAACCCCGACTATGATAGAACAAGCCCCAAAATGATAAGGAAAACCACAAGGTGATCAACCTTGATAAGTTCAAGAAGTTCAACAAAGAACCTTAAGGAGAAACTCTCTCAAAATGTGATAGCATGCAAATATCTGATTATGGAATGATCTCAAAGTACAAAGAAGAGACCTGTTTATAGGCTTCAAAGTACAAACCAAAAGACTCTCTTTAAAGTTTAAGTCTTAAATTCTCAATCACCATAAATCTAGACATTTAAGAAGCCATTTAAAATCTTAAAGAAATTCAAATGCACCCACACCCAATTTAGACTTCCTATGAGCTGGAAACCTTTCTTTTCTCATATGCACCCACACCCAATCTCCTGGTTCAAAAACAACACGTTTCCTCCCTTAGTTGGCTTTGGATGCATTTTCTTCATTCTTCTTTTCAATTTGCCTTTTGACTTGTTCATGTAATTGCTTCACCATCTCAGCTTTTTTTTTCCCATCAAGACTTGGCTCAATCATTTATTGGTAAAGGCACTGGATCTAAAGGAGTTAATGGATTGAACCCATAAACCACCTCAAAAGGGGAACAACTAGTGAACATTCCTATTATAAGCAAACTCAATGAAAGGCAAGCAATCTTCCCAATTTTTCAAAATTTTCTGCATGATAACCCTTAGTAACTGAGTTAAGGTTCTATTCACAACTTCAATTTGACCATCCGTTTGTGGATGGTAAGCAATAGAAAATAGCAACTTCGTACCAAGCTTTCCCCATAAAACTTTCCAAAAGTGACTAAGAAACTGTGTCCTCTATCGAAGTCCTGCTAGCTACTGCATTCGAGGCTTGTAGTTGCTGCATATTTGAGTGGTGTCTAACAGTAATATGTGATTTCATAGAAGTTTTGATTGTTTCCTAATATAAAGTATTGATCATAATTAATGAACCATATTCATCTTTCATAAATATTTAAATCATAATAAATGAACTCTCATCATTTCCATAAATATCTCAATTAATTGGGTTGTATTGGTTGTACAAATAAACATGATTGTATTTGAAATATACCCTATATATATATATATATATATATATATATATTGATAAGATGTGCGCACCTCACATTCTTGAGGCCCGTACCTCACATTCTTGAGGCCCATACCTCATGCTGAAGGTGGAGATCCATTTCGCATTAACTACCATCACTGTTGACTGAAACCTTGGCCAAACTCCATTCAAGCACCAAACGTCAAAGAAGTACTAGATGCTTCACATCATGTTTTTTTTGTAAAAAAAACACACACACACACACACTTCAATTGAAAGAAAACAGTAAACATTAAACAGCGCCTATTTGAGTGTCTACTTTGCTACTTCTCTTCCCCTGTATAATGTTCTTTTACCAACTAGACAATCTTTAAATATCTCCACAAATTAGTTATTTATCGGTCTTTGGAAAAAAAAAAAACCTGTCTTGGGCAGCTTAAAATGGCACGGTTAATGTGTTGATGATCGTTAGATCAAGATTTCAAAACTTAAGGGTCGTTTACCAAACACTTATCTGGTAAGTGTTTATGGGTAAAATTTAACGCTATCATTTACTTATTGGGTAAGATTTTAGTCCACCATCACGAAATCGTATGCAACAATTTACCCGGTAAGTGCTTACTGTGGTAAGAATCGTCACCCTCACTTACCAGGTAAGACTCTTGATCTTGTCTCGTCTCGCTCTTACCGGATAAGATTTTTGGTCCTTATCATACTCATCCGGTAAGGTAATGTGACTTAGTAAGCGCTTACCCGGGTAAGCATTTAGTAAACGGCCCCTTAATCTTGGATTTATTGACTTTTCTCGAGTTGCTTTTATGAATCCACTTTTTTCAAATTTAATGAATCTGTCTGGTCTTCCCTAAGAAATTGAACGCATAATAATATTGGTTTTGAACCACACAGAAAAGTCAAGACCAGGCTYCCTAATGGAATGTTTAACCGATCCATTCCGGATCGACCGAAATGGTATGGAGTCTACGGCCAAAAAACCCAATTCTGATTGGACCAAGGGAAGATAATAATGAACACAAAAAAATAAAAATAGAAAGATCAAAATTCCTAATCTTCTTCCATGCCATGAATGCATTATTATATGGAATTGAATATAACTCAACCACAAGGGTGGTGCCTGATTGGTTTGAGCTTGGCTCCAAAGGTCAAAAGTACAAGGAGGTCCCAGGTGCAAATCCAAGGAGGAATAAAAACCCCCTTGTGGCCACGAAGGTTCAAATGCGGTGACTCCGGGCTATCTGCAAAGCAGGTGGTCGCCTTGGGATTAGTCAGCTCACATAGCGGGTTGGATTCAGGTTAATCAAAAAAAAATATAACTTAAGTTTGCAGAGCATTTCAAAAAGAAACAGCACTACTCAGCATGTGTAGTTCTTAAGGATCATAACCTTAAGTCACCAACTCAATTTAAACATTAAAAAATAGAGCAAAATGCATATCAAAGATATGGAAATGCAGTATAACATAAGCTAGATTTGGAGATGCTATGCTAGACAAGAATTAAGAAGAATTTGTTAAAAATCTAGTCAAGATAGAAGATTTATCCTAAGATGGCAGATATCCAATCATTACAAAGTTAGCATACCTGAGCGAAAATTGCTTGGCGTATTGCAGTCATTTAAATGAGATCTTGCACAAGAGGTTTCCGAGACAAATTTTTCAGGATACCCATATAAACCCCTTCGGATAAGTGACCTTTTTGGTGGAGTGATTTGATCATTTCTTCAGCTTCATTTAAATGTCCCTTATGATCCAAGTAATCTAGACAAGCAGACAAAGTGGCGGTGTCTACTGTCCACCCATGAAAACTACCTAAAATAGATTTTCTCATCGCCTCCACTGCCTTCTCCATTCCATCATTCTTAACATAACCCATTGCCATGCGAGACCATGTTGATGCATTAGGTTCCTTTCCACTCTCTATAAGCTTTTTCACTAATGTCTCCGCCTTTTCTAGGAGTCCTTTCTTGCAGTACATAGTAATGAGAAGATTCGGGACATGGAAATCAAAGTATGTATTTTGTGCTTCCCACTCCTCGTATATTTTCTCAACATCATCAATACAATCCAACTTAGCAAGTGAGCTTAATAAGCAAAGATATCCATGATTGTAAAACTTACCAATATTCTTGTAAAGGTTCCATATACGATAAACTTCATCTTTTCTTCCGGCGCTAGCATAAAGAGTGAGTAGAATCTCGTAAGCTGACTTCCTCTGACTAGGCCTTATGAGGTATTCAGATTTTTTTAAAGACATCAAAGCCTTTTCTTTCTCACCAGCTTTCAAGTACCCATTTGCTATCAATGTGTATGCATGCCACTCCATCGTCACTTCTGGATCAACTTCCATCTTCAGTAAAAGCATCTCCATTTTCCGTATTTCCAATGTTTTTGCATATGCATTTAATCTAATAGCATAAGTGAACTTATCAATACGAATGCCCTTCTGTTCCATCTCTTCCATTAGAAGGTCAAGCTTCTCATATTTCTCTGTAGCTGAATACAGGCCCATCATAACATTGTAGGTCAATGATCTAGAATAACCCAACTCCCTCATCTTCTGCATGGTGGCTTCTGCTTTCTCCAATGCTTTCGCTTTGGCATAGCAATTTAAAAGGGCACCATAAACCTGCCAGACCCTTGAAGTATTTGGAATTTTGTTAAAGTACTCCTCGGCTTTCTTTAGACCATAAACCTTTGATATCAAATCCAGCTCAACCGAAACATCTTTATATGAAACATCAAGATACGGTTTGTCATTCATCCATCGACATATCTGTCATGAAAATGGGAAACAAGATTAAGGTACCAAACAGAATGCTGATATGATTTTGCAGGTATGCATGAAAAATTAGAACGGAGGAATGCCTTGTTTTAATATCAACAATTATTGCTCCAGCTAAATTTCATTTATTTAACAAACGAAAAGTTTTTATATACCTAGAAACCTGACCAAAGGTCACCTAAAGCTACAAGTTGCAAAACATAATTCAATACATCTTTTCATGATTCTTTATATGGTAGAAATTTCAATAATTAGATGCTCTATAGCATGTTCAGAATATCTGCCACCTGTAAGGTGTACTCTTCCAGTTCAGAAAATCTGCCACGAAGTGTGGACCCAGGACATGACGACGCCTTGGGGTGGACTATTGAACAATAGAGACAGGAGGTAGACTGGGGTGGACTATTGAACAATAGAGACAGGAGGTAGACAGTGGGCACACACATCTCCTAGGACAGACATCAGTAAGAAAGTTGAAGAAGGGGTCAACGGTTCCTATTAAGAGAAATACAGGCCCCCCTATGGGCCGGTGCCGGTAGGAGGAGATTTTGTGCCAGCAGCCAGGCTTGGGAGCAGATTTAGACATAGTTTGGGGACCTCACATTGGGTGTTTATAGTTCATCATATGAACTATAATCGGGTTCTATTGTTAAATTATATCCCTATACTTGAGATTTGGTGTTGAATTTTATGCTTGAAAGTGTATAATTGTGTAGAGCGTGGTAAGTCAAACCAACTTATTATTGCTTATTGCCATCATGTTCTTGCTCACCTCCGTTAATTCCCTCTTCTCTGAATTAATTTTATCACTCAGCCTCGGTTAATCCTGTCTTTCTTTGATAAGAATAGATATGATTTTGATAAGACTCCTTCTCCGAATGAAATTCAGTGGCCTACACTTTAACTAGGAACAGAAAGGTCCACGAAATAACCGTGTTGCTGGAATTTCTTGGAAGCTCAAAATATAATAAAGTAGGTAGATGGCCATGCCAGGAAGTACATTTCAAGGTTGGCGACTAGGTCTACTTGAAGCTTCATCCTTACCATTCTAAGTCATTAGCACAAGTTAGGAAGGACAAGTTAAAATGATGAGACCGGTGAGAAGATTGGAAAGGTGGTGTATCCGCTAAAGCTACTGCACTATCTATCTTTTCTTTCATGTTTTATAGCTGCAACATGACATCGGGGATCATACGCGAAGCTCAACACTTCCAACCACTCTTAAAAAGAAATGGAAGTTTGGATGGAACCAGAAGTGTTTTTGGGAATTTGTTAGGCTGATCAAGACAATTTAAGAATATTCAAGTGCTTATTCAGTGGAAAAACTGAATAGAGGATGAGGAGGATTAGGAGCCGTTCATGCTTGTTCAACAACTTCCAAAATTTCACCTTGCTGACAAGGTGTACCTAGGAAGGAAGTAATATAGGTCAATACATGGGCCTAAGCCCATAATCACATATTCTAGACGTAACAGTATAAATAATTAGCCAAGAATAAGACAACGATGTTATTTTCTTAGTCAAGAATAAGGTTATGTTACTTCCTTTAGTCAGAACGTTGTAGACGTAAGGTTTATGCAGAATAAGGTAGTATCGTGAGGTTAGAATTCTGTTAGTAGTAGTTAGATGTTTTGGAGGAAGAATTAGTTAATTGGGAGAGTTGACCTTTTGTAATCCTGAGCCATAAGTAGATTGTCACTGATGTAATTCAGGAAGGATTTGGAAAATACAAGTTGAGCTCTTCTCTGTAAAATCTCTCTCTCTCTCTCTATCCATCTATCTCTTTTCTTCTTCTTCCTTCTCCTATATTCTCTGACTATCACAACTGTTAAAGAGTCTCGATAGCTCATTGGAGTTACAGTCTACAAGAAATTATTACAAATTAGATTAGGCATCTGGAGAGTGGCTTACCTCAAAATAAGCAGGGTTTTTTTATTTTCATATCATTTCTGTCTGATTATCAAATAACAATATCCACATTAAAGGACATCAACATACCCAATAAATTTTCCAACACCAGAAAAAGTTCCACAATGAAGATTAAACTAAGAAAATTCTTTATCAATTGAACTCAAACATCATGTTCGCTAATTTGGAGAGAAGAATGGAACCTGGAGAGCATGCTTATAGCGACCGAATTTCCTGAGCTGCTTAATTATCACGTGGAGATCTTCTTGATCAATGGCTCTTCCTTCTTGTACCCATAGGTCTAGAACTGGGACAACCGAAGGGTCTCGAAAACGAACGAGTCTATGATAAAGAGTGGTACCGGCAGCCGTAGAAGATGTATCTGCGACGTCATTAGGGGATAGTGTTTGTGTGGAGTAAGCCAATACCCAAAAAACCCTAGATGAAGCGAAACAAAATTCATCCCAGGAAACTAAAGGAGTACGCAATTTCTTTATTATCATCATCCTGATCAAGGAGTCAGTGGAGGATGGTGTACTAGTGCCGTTCAGATGCTTTTAACCTTTACAGCACCATCATCTAGGAGAGTGTTCTGTTCAACATACTGTCAAAAGATAAACACAAAAGTATGATAGAAATCCCCAATTTTTCTTTCATGCTCCAAAAGATCTTAATAATGGAAAACAAAAGCATTCGTTATGAGAACCAAATGGTTCAAATCTGTTATAGACTTGTTTTCATTTGAAAACGATAAAGACTGGTGCATCAAATTGGCCAACAGACAATTTCTTGGATCAACTCTCAAGTGTATTGCCATAAAAATAACAAATTGCTCACTAAGCTTAGCATTTGAATTATAAACAGATTTGTGGAATATAGCGTCAATAACCACAAAATCCTTCCACCATATTTATGTCATTACTAAACAAAAGATTCATCTTTCGTAGGAACAAAAGCAAGCACTGTGTGCAAATCCTGAAATCTACAAAAGACGCAAGAGATTCTAAATGTTTATTCACCCATTGGATTTAGAGCTCGTTATCGGTCTATCCGCACCAACTTATATTCAATACTTGTCGTAAAAGTTAAATGCAAATGGAAACTTAGAACATATTAACATTCAAAATTTGAACCGCATCTCTATTGAGGAAGTGAAGGAGCATAAAACAAGCTTCCAATATCCATATTACAACATGCTAACACCATCAATGAGCTTTTCATAAGATGCAGCGGCAAGATAGCACACACATATATAAGCATATTCCAATTTCCAAACACGTCAAATTGTCAATTACTCAAGTCTCAACGAGCGATTTACCGTAAAACCTAATCACCTAAACCCTAGAAATATCAAACATAAACTTACCAAAACCTTCTGTTGAGCGACTTCGTTGTGAATGAGGCAGAACAGCAGAAGCAGAAGCAGAGCAGCACCAGGCCGCCGACGAGAAAGGGCGGAAACGGGATTAGCGCGAAATCTTCTTTTTCTAGGCGAGGGTGGGCCTTCGATTGGAGAAGCTTTAGATGTTCACTAGTGTTATTATACACCGTGCTTTGCATAATTTATTTTTGAAAAAAAAATGAAATACGTTAAAGTGATATGATCGATTATGTATTAGATATTAAACTAATAAGAATCAATATTAAATTTGATATGAAATCATCTCAATATCTGAAGTTGTTTTTAGTATATACTAGTTGTGTATCCGTGTAATGTGACAGGAGCCGTGAATTTTAACGATTTTGAAGTTTCACTGGTTTTATCAGAGAAGATCTAACGATAAAATAAGTTATCATTATCTGAGGTTGTCTTTAGTATATACTAGTTGTGTACCCGCACAATGCAGCGGGAGCCGTGAATTTTAATGATTTTGAAGTTTCACAGTTTTTATTAGAGAAGATCTAACGATAATATAAGTTACATTTGGTCATTACATATTAATATTATGTGAATAAGTAAGAGTTATGGTTCCAATTATAGTCTATCGATTAAAAAATTGTATGACAGTTTAAAATCCAACATATTTAAACGACTCTACAAATGTGTTCAATTTACACCAAGAGCAAAGAATCAAAAGATCGAGAACAAGACCGAGAGTTCTAGAGCAATTGAATGAGAGAACATTTAATAACTCATAGTGAAATATCAGTTTGAATCTCACATTGGGGGATGGGGAGAAGACATAGATGTATGAGAGGATGAAGGCATGAGTGAAAGGTGTCAAAAATATATTGGAACATGAAAAGAAAAAGTAATAATATACATTGGTAACTTGTATTATATGTTATTTTAGTTGTAGATTAAGAGATTTTAAGACTGAATGCATAAAGTAATAGTACTTAATGCATTATGAGTTGTTTTTAAGACTTTTAAAACTTTTGTGCATAAATGTATAATACTTTGTGTAATAAAAATTGTTTTTAAGACTTTTGATAAATCTGGTTTTTAAGACTTTTGATAAATCTGGTTTATAAGGTAATATAGATATTGATCGATGTTTTATTTTTCAAGTAGTATTTTATATAAATATTTCTTTTTACAAAATTTTTTTTGACCAAAATGAGTCATTCATATGAGTTGGCACAAAGACATTCTTCCTCCCTCCTTGTTTATATCAAACTCCTTCCAATTAGTCATCTTTTTACCGGTGTGCAATAATCGGCCAAACCAAAATTCAAGATTTGCAAAATTACTCAAATTCAATGAAATCGTTTCATCATCTTTGGTTGTTCTTTTAATAATTTATACAGACAAATCTTTTTGTGAAAGAAATACCAGCCGATACGCATATTTAACAAATGGTCCATTTACTTATCAACGAAATCTTCATCGTTTTTATACGTGCCACCGTATTGTTCCTCCGTGATAAGGTAAAAAAAAGAAGGTTCGTAAAAGGTGCAACCGTTTTATTCTAGAAGGTGCAACCGTTTTATATAGTGTCACCGTATCCAAAAATTCTTGGGTCCGTCCCTGAATTTATATATTCATATTTATTCTCCAATTTATCATCTCACGACCTGTGTAAGATGACCTAAACAAAAACAAATTCAAGATTATGAAATACTCGAATCAAATATTACAATGTTACCTCATACATATATCATCTTCCTTTTTTTTATTTTATAAATTATTTTGAAGTATTAAACCAAGTTAAGATGAAATACATCTATAATCGTTTTTTTGTTATAAAGAGTTTAAGAGATACCATTAATAAAAAAAATTAAGTGACTTAGGGGTTGTTTGTTTACCTCTTAATAGTTTCATTAAGAAACAGCCTCTGAATTGTTAAGAGGTGAATCTTGTTTGGCAAAAAAAATCTTGTTTGGCAAAAAAAATATGTCTCTTAATGGCTCAAAAACCCTCGGAATGATTTTGTATCATGGGTCTCCCTTAACCATTCAGCGCCSTAATTCCATTGTAAACAATTATCGAACAATTATATTTCATTTTGCACTATATTATGAGAGTCTTATATTCATTTTGACCACTTTATCATTCAGCAACTGCCAAACAACCCCTTAGAGCTTAAATAATATTTCCCATAATGCTACCACATACATCTACCGTAATAATTTATTTTTCTTCTAAATTTTTTATATGGACAGGCTTTTTGCAAAAGAAAGTTCGATCAAAAAACATATTTAGCCAATGAACGTTTACTATCGAAGATACCCTCAATGTTTTTATAAATATTTTTTTTCAAATAAAATGGTCGGCTAATAAAACATATTTAGTCAATGCATCTTTTAATTACATTTCAAGAGCATCATCATTTTTATATACCCACTTCTAGTCTTCATTCTATCAACTCACCACTGATGTGGAATAACATGTATCTTCAAAAGCAGACAACAGATTAGGAAAATAATCACATTTTCCCTTTCCCTTTWAYATCCCCGRACCCAGCTATTCCTGCATTGCATAATTTAAAACAGAAAATGAGGGTTAGACCATACGGGTCTAGTGAGTAAATCCCTTCTTTGCAAATGCAGGGTGATAAACACCAAAATATGATAATGTAATTTTGCTTAGAAATATACTGCAATACAGATAAATGATGCAGTTCACAACATCATGCAAATAGAAGTATATCCAAGAACCTCACTTCTATATAGTATCTCTGATTTGAGATTCAACCCTTCCAATATGAAACAAATATTGTAACCAAAACTTCTTAAATCAATAAACCAATTCTTTGACAAATATAAACAGAAAAGATTTAAGGCAATACTTGCCTGATATGACAAATCATTTTCCCCTTCTCAATAACATCTAGATTATTACTTCTAAATAGGAATAATATCTTTAATTCATCAGGTCACAAAGAAATGATGATTCAAAGTTATTAAATCCAATTTAGTAATAATACATAAGAGTTATAATAATATCCACATATGACAATGCCACCCTTATTCCAAGTACACCTCTCCTTGATATGTCACCCTTATTCCTCCATCAAAACAGAGTTACTTATCAGAACAGACAAAAGTCACCACGTCTGAAAGTACTCATTCCCAGTTCCAAGCCAGAACAGACAAAAGTCATCACGTCTGGGGAACTACCACTTAAAATAAGTTTTATACCAAAACAGACTTACGTCACCACGTTTGGTAGAAACCATTTATAAAACTCACTTCCATACCAAAACAGACTTACGTCACCACGCTTGGTAGGAAGGTTTCCCAAAATATAGTTTCATACTAAAACAGACTTTCGTCACCACGCTTGGTAGGAAGGTTTCCCAAAATATAGTTTCATACCAAAACAGACTTACGTCACCACGCTTGGTAAAAACATTTCCCAAAATCCCGTTCCAATACCAAAACAGACTTACCTCACCACGCTTGGTAGGAACATATCTTTATAAAAAAAAATATAAAAATACCCATTTTATAATCCACAAATAATCCCAATAATAGACATTTTAAAAAAAAAACATATAAAAAGTCTAAACATAAAATTTATGAAAATTCCAATAAAAAGTCATCCGGACAAGTTATCCGGATATAAAGTCCGGACAACTTATCCCTCTTTGTCCGATTTATACTTAAAATAAACTCTAACATATTTGTCCGGATAACAAATCCGGTCAATACCCCGCATAAAGCTTGAACGATTAAACACTTAGAAATAAAATCATCTTTGTCCAGATAACAAGTCGGACAACACTCCGTCCACCCTTTGTCCGATTTAAAACAATGCGGATAATACTATCTTCCACCCTTTGTCCGATTTAAAATAAACCGAACAAACCTTGTCCGGTTTAACATCCGGATAAACTCTTAGAGCAAAAAGACTGATTTCTATCCAAATTCAATAAAATCCATATAAAACCAGTAATAATCTTTATGCAAGAGAGTTTTAAAAACTACTCACCTTATCAAGCTTTTGAAATCAAATACTGAAATTCACTTCTTGCAACCAAGTACTTTGTAAATCTATCAACCTCATTTTCACTCTTCTTCTTCTTCGAAAAATAACCAGAAAATGATGTATGAGGGTGAGACCCTCATATTTATACTCTCCAAATAAAAAAATAAGTTGGATACACATTCTCATGCATCCTACACATTCCACCTCATACACACATACATACTTCATGCACACATACATACTTCATGCACACATATAATGTATACACATTCCACACACACACACATATATATATATATATTAAACACACACACACA